TGAGATCTTGTTTCTTTTCATTCAACTCATTTCCAGCTTAGACTTTCTCTACGTCTGGCCACTAAAAGCTGGCCCAGAAGACTTCGATGTTCTATATTCCTTGCCCGTCACTACATCTGTGGCCGGATGTCTCCTTGAACCGAACCCAGGAGACGGAGTAATCCCGCCCTTGATGGCCTAGATGATGGTCCGAGCTTTCGGTGCTGGCCCGCAACCCCGCGTCTCGAAGGTCGGAGCTTCGCTCGGTACGCCGGCAGGCATTCGAATACACCCTGAACTTGCCTTATATATGTAATCGGTCATGAGAAGAACTTTGAATTGACAAGATTTAGTCAGTGAAACTTCTGGGCCTTAGCCATTCAATTACTAGTCTTAAACAAAACACCATAATGTCCCCACGCGCTCTGGAAGCTCTTCGCAAGTTCACCTCCTGTGACGTAAGTGCATCTTTGGCCAAGGTCGTCGATCGGCCGGCTTCAGCCATCAAATCTTATCAATATTGTATCAAAGTAGTCAATAACATCTGGGTCAGATTGGGGATGCTCTTGTAAAGCTCAAATACCCCCAGGGGGGCTTTCTTGATGGGATCCGCATGTTCTCGCCGGGCGCGTCAGGACGCGTCTTCGGCCCCGCAGTGACCGTCGAGATGGTGGAGATGAGCAATACCGCGGCGCCCAAGCTAGACAAGCACTTCGTCGACCACAATCAGGAGGGCGGCATAATGTACGTCCAGCAACCCAAGGGCTTGCCTTCGGCTTGCTGGGGCGGGCTGATGTCTACGAGAGCAAAGTATCTCGGGGCGGAGGCTGTGGTTATTGATGGTCGCATGCGAGATGTTGGAGAGCACAACGAAATGGGATTCCCCGTGAGTTTTCTTCCTCTGACAGTAAAGGAGGGGATGGAAAAACCTGACTGCTTTGGTTAGGTGTTTGCGCAAGGCACTTCGATCCTCGGATCCAACACTTTCACACGGGCTTCAAGAGTCAATGTGCCGCTCCAATTCAAGGAAGACCTTTGGATCAATCCCGGCGACATTCTGGTGGGCGATGCCGACGGCGTCGTGGTTACTCCTGTTTCTCTGGTCGAGAAGGTGGTAGCTCTATGCCAGGAAAGGGCCGAAGTTGATGAGAAGATGTTTGTCGAACTGAAGAAGGGGGCTTCCATGGGAGACCTCATCAAAAGCGTCCGGAAAGATAAATGACTGTTGTAGGGTGGGTAATATTTAGCAGCTTGCAGTGCAGCCAGAAGTTCTCACGCTTTATACAACGTCTCATTGCCACTGTAAAAGCTTGATCGCTAGACCATTCCCTTGCGTTTGACTTTCACGACATGTTGCTTCTTCTCGAGCCCCGGTTCGACCGCGGCCAATCTCATCAGATTCTTCACCGTCCAAAGATATGGCTTGGATTCTGAACCATTAGCAGATTCCACTCCTCATCTGAGAGCCAAGACCTCAGGCTCTTGAGCCACGCCGCATCATCTACCTCGAGATACGGCGTCTCCCTCATGGCAGCCTCCTGTGTCCGGACCTTCATTCGCGGCGTATGCGGCCAATCGCTGCCCCACAGCACCCGGTGCTTGTTCGCATCGACAAATGCGCGCACTAGAAACTCCACATCCGAGTATCCTGGGCTGTCGTCGCTGATGCGATACGGTGCGCTCAGCTTTACCCACAGATGGCCGTCCCTCACTAGTCTCATCACAGCGTCAAATCCTGGCTGGGTCGTCGGGTCCTCGCGATGTTCACCGGGCAGCAGACTTGTCGCCTTCAGCAACGCAAAGTGATCTGTAACCAAGATGACGCCTTGCGAGACTATGACGTCTCGGACGAAGGGCTCCAGCGTGGTCCAGAACTCGGTGCGGGTCGTCGTCATCGTCAAGCTCCATGGGAGCGATAGGTCTGTAATCCTGTTCAGATGCGAACGCAGAGCAACTTTCTGTAGCTCGACATCTTCCATAGCTTTGAACTGATACAGGTTCACGCGAAGGCCGCGGACACCCGCTCTGTGCATCGCAAGTAACTCCTCGTCTGTCGTCGTTTCAGGATTGATAACGCCAACGGCCCGAGTCTTTTGGCTTCCGAGCCGGGGGATGAACGCCTTGAGAGACGTGCAGTCATTCCCGTAGGATAATCCATGTGTGAGTACAGATCTCGTGATGCCTAAGCTTCTTTTGAATTGTTCAAACGCGGCAATCGTCGCGGGCGGCGGAGTTAGATGCCTGTTTGGGCTGTAAGGGAAAGATTCGGCTTGACGACGACGAAAGTGCTTGAATTAGCGGGTTTTTCGTTGATGATCTGGCCGCCAGAAAGAAATTTTCGCATGACAAGTAGACCTACGTTCGAAGATATGGTGATGAGTATCCCATCCGCCGCGCGGGAGCAGAACGGGTTGTCTCTCCTCAATCGATGTAGCAGAAGGAGGCATCGCAAAGGAATCAGTCAATGCGAGAACGTTTGCCAGTACTGGTGAACGGCAATGCACTCGTGGCTTTGATCGGCGACGAGGGCTCTCCCAGCCAACGACGCCATCATTCATATACCAGTCATCTTCACTCGAGTTCCTCCGAGCGGTGGTAACAGCAGCACGGAGACGATGGTTTATGCCAGCACTACGGTAGTTGGAGAAAGCAGACACAAACACGCATCTTCGACACGTTCACGCGACAAGATCATCAATTGTCTGCAGGTGAACAATCGAGGAAGTTCCTCCAAAGGAGCTATCCGTGTGAGAAGTATCCGGCTGGCGGATTGCTCCGTCAATATCCGTACGGGAAACGAGTACCCCGTACGGGTGCCAGGTGGTAACAAGACAAACCTGTTCCAAAGGAGACTGGTCAGAGCGTCTCCGTGGAATGCGTGGAAACCGTGGATTCCACGCGATGCGTGGAATGCTCCCCTTTTCCCCTCCCTGGCCTTGCCAGTCTGACGCTACGGTCTGGGGTTTGGATTCTAAGCTTTGGACTTTGCGTGTCAATTCATCCGCTCTACTCCGTAACGTACGTTAGAATAGCCACAAGGGGTGGCCTGTAGAGAGCGAATTGGGGCTAATCCGAGCTGTACATAAACTCTACATCGAGCTTCAGCGGTCTACGGATAGCCTACCGTACTACGGAAAACGAACGGTACGGAGTAGTAGGCCAGTGTCCCTAATTCAACCAATAACCCACATGCTAGCCAGCAAAAATGGATAGCGAAGGCTTGCTAGTTCATTCATCATCGCTACACGAAGATGACTACTGGTATTGCCTTGACCTACGCCTAGGCCTCTTCAAATCGACATAGAGCCGCATAATTACACCTCCGGCCTCTTTTCATTCAATGCTTATTCCTGGTGCAGCCGCCACTGGCCCTGTGTTCCTGCTTAAAGACGTGATACATCAAGCTCACTTACATCCGGCGGAGCACTCATTCCCGTCACCGCGAGTCAGATTAAGTCACACTCCCGCGTGCCAAACAAAGCCAAGCGAGCGTCCGACCGAGTACAAAGGTAATCCCGTAATGAACAATGCAGCTTTTGAGTTCATTCCACTCTCCACTGGGAATTTTCGTCCCAGCCATCCTTGGAATAAAATCAAGCCGCTCCGCGATGCTGTAGCCTACTATACGCCCATCGCCAGTGCGTTCTGCGTCTCAGATGTATCGACTTCGAGGCGGGAGGCGATTCATCAAGTGCGATTCCGCGAGAATAAAATTTGCCGAGGGGTTCCTAGGTGAAGGATTTCATCAAGGTTGACGGGAAGATCGTAAAGCTCACTTGGGCAGCATGGCAGCGAACTGACAAGTCCCAGCGGGAAGCTAGAACATCAAAATCACAGAAGTCTACCTACAACACCAGGGCCGGTAGTGCGATGACGGTGGATCAATCGTGCGACTAGGCGATCGGGAGGTGTTGTGCACGGAGGGCCTACGGCCAGCGTGCTCCCCGATGCCCCGAAGCACATTTTTTTACACGCTGATTTGCTCCACCATCTGCCGTGCCCTATCGAACGTTATCCGGCAGATTAAGGTAGTTCAAACTGTAAACAAAGTATAGACTATCTTGGGATGAGGTGGTAGAGTCTATTCAAGCATGAATAATCGTTGGTAACTCCAGCCTCCAGGCCGTATCGGGTCCACGGACCATGAACTAATAGATCTCCGACTCCCAGGGAATCCACCCGTCATTTGGAGCATGCAGTAGTGAGACCCTAGCGGTGAAACCTTCTGTTAACGGAAGAACAATTCTTCGTAAAGCTTCAACGAGAATACCGCCGGCGGGTTGACAAGGTTCGTCTTGTCAGGCAGAACATATTGCGAATGCTCTTGGCGAAGGAGCGACAGCGTCCAGACTCCAGCGTCCGCCAGCCCTGATTAGATTCAACAAAGAGTCCGATGCAAAAGTATGGAGTACAGGTACGCTTACCGATCCAGGTTTGCCAATTGGGCGCTAAGCCAGCTTCTCCACATACTACCGAGGTCTTCCAAGGAAACATAGGCGTTGTACCGTTCGCTTAGGACTTTCCCGAGTGTCCAAAGTGCAGTACCTATAGGTATCCGTTGCAAAGGGTAGCTATCGTTGCTTCCGGGTATGCTCCTCTGTATAAGGTCTTGATGAAGGCTCGAACAGTAGCTGGAACTCCTTGTAGCTCTTGTAAAAGCCCTTGTATGATTCTGTGTGATTCTCCCCCGGTATGCCTGATGTATGTTTCCCGCGAATTCTGTCTGTCTATCCCGAAAAAGCAGCCCAAGCCACATCCCGCCAGGGGTTGGGTGAAAGGCGGAAAGTGACGTGACAAGCCCCCTGAGAAACACCCCTCCCGGGATCCAGTAAATGTACTTGGTACCTAACGTGAGTGCTAGCTTGTTTAGTAGCTACGTGCCTTGCCATTGTCGGGAGCTGCCCCGGGCTATGCCTTTTTTCCATTCATTTCCTCGCCAATTCATTCCAAGTCGCTTACCTTCACACCGTGGGACATAACCTTCAAAGAACGAGAGAAGATCGACAACTTCATATTCAGAGATGGCTACACGGGCAAATCCGCCCAAGAAGGTCCGGCTCGCCTGTCGTCGTTGTCGCACAAGGCGAATAAAGGTGAGACTCTCTCATAATCCCCGACCCGCGTTGCGGCTCCAGTCAGATCAAATCCCGCGCTGGGGTTTGGTCTTACTAGCCTGGACAATGACTGGGACCATCGCCGCGTTACTCCGGCTCAAACTGTTCGGGTTGCTCATTCTCAACTTTTCAGTGCGACGGAGAAGTCCCTGCCTGCACGAATTGCGCAAAAGCCGGCGAAACTTGCCTAGATGTTGATAGTCAGAACTCGCGTTTGTTGGTTCCTCGCAAGTAAGTGTGAATGCCATAATTGCCATGGCCCCTACTGCGCCCTCATTGGATCCATTCTGAGCGCTTCATACTGGAGTCCCATCTGCCCTGCAAGGTACTCAAAGACGGCTAGAGGAGTCCATGACTGATGATCCTTATCCACGTATAGCTTTGCGAGCGCGGCACGTGCTAGAATTCAATGGCTAGAGGAAATAATCAAACAGCGGCTACCTGACGTCGACATAGCAGGCGGTCCGCAAATAGACGCGTTTCCGGACCCGAAAGGATCGGGGGTCGTCGGAGGTGGAGACTACGATGAGGACAATATCTCGACATCGTCTCCCCGGTCCGGCCGCGGATGTAGTCAACCGGTGCCGGTGGGAGGGACTATAGTTCTGGGGTCGCAACGATCAGGCAGTCTCAAGCGTACCGCGGAGGCCGCGGGATCCAACGACCACGACGAAGAGTTCCCGGATCGTGCGCACTCGGTCGCCAGGAATTTAGGGATGCTATCGCTCAACTCGGATTCAGATCAAAAGCACTATCTGGGATCGAGTTCCGGTGTTCTTTTCACAAATCTCATTGGGGCGTCTCCCTCAAGTGCGGGCTCAACACCGGTTGCTTTGATTGATGACGTCCAAGCCCAGGGACCAGCATCTGAATGGCACGACAGCACCATCCCAAGCAACGTCTCGCAAGAATATAATCGTGCCTTGCACGTGTGTCTACGGCAGGTTCGTATGCATCTCTTCTCTATACAAAGGGGCTGCAGACTTCATTTTTGTTACGATAAAGCTGACGCTCGTCTACGTGCAGGAACTTCCAAGAAAAGAAGATGCCATCAAACTCGTACACACCTACATTCGTTGGATACATCCCGACTACCCAGTTTTAGAAGCGACATCTCTACTGAGTGCCATTGAGGCTCTTTATGCGACTTTTGAATGCTCGCTGGAAGAAGATCCCTTGCCAAATGGCTGGCCAAGTTCCGTTCAAGCGTTTAGGTGGAATGGATGGCAGGTCACCCCGAGCGATCAAGGTATGCAAGCGGTGCCTATGCCCGTTGTTGCTTTTACCCTCTTCATGGTGTTCAACATCGCAGCTATCATGAAGATCAGGTCGCGGATCTACGAGTTTCCTCCCGAAAGGTTCTACCGTGCCGCTCTACATTTCTCGAAGGATTGTTTCTCGCAGATATCTCTGTCGTCGATTCAAGCTTTGGTAACTCTGATTATACACAGCATGTTGACCCCTGCAGAGGTCAATCTTTTCACGCTCATCCATATTGCATTGGCGCATTGCGTGGAACTAGGGATTCATAGGGAACCACCTGCAGCCATCCAGCCAAGTAGTGAATTTGAGAATCAGCAAATTAAGAGGTTGACTTTCTTCACCATATACTCTTTGGACAGGCAAGTTTCGAGTAGTGCTTTATTTTTATGATTTACTAACAATGATAGATCCATATCATCTATTCAAGGCCGGCCCCTTGGCTTCCGCGACGAAACATTCGATATCATGATGCCTGAACCCCAATTATCACGCACAGGCAATACGAACAGCCTCAACACGATTCCATCCTCCTTCTCGGAGGCTGTCCTGAGATATGCACGACACCAGTTCGAACTTGATAGACTGATTTCCGACGTCAAACAACAACTTTACCATCTGCCCGGCGACTCCTCCTGGTTTCCAATGCCTCGAAACCCGACTGACCAACAAGGAAGAATCAAACAAGAGCTCGTGAATTGGTGGCGAGAGGTGTCTGAAGAATCTTTTGATTTCCCCGGTGTTGACAACCGACAGCGTCGCATCTGGAAGCTGAAGCTGAAGATCAAGTATCACACCACGATGGTGATGCTGTACCAGCCTTCACAGGTCATTCGAAACCCTCCTCCCGAGTCTCTCCAGATCTGCTTCAACAATGCTTCGTCCATTCTGCAGGACTACCAAATGTTGCACGATATGCAAGGGCTTCATCATGGATGGCGAACGGTCCAAAACATTTTCGCGGCCGGGGCGACGCTGATCTATTCTTTCTGGACGTGCCCCATCATCCGTCAAAGCGCGTCCACGGCCGACCTTTCCAAAAGTCTGCGCGCTTGTTCAGGTCTCTTGGCAGTTGGTGGGGAATGGTGGCCGTCTGTCAAAAGGGGACAGAGAAGTTTCGGGGCTATTGTCGACCTCACAGTCCGCAAACTTTACACCGGCAATATGCCATCAAAGAACCCCAGACTCTTCATGCCTCTCAGCGCGGAAGACGGAGAGACTGCGATTGAGAACTCAGAAGGAGCACCTGTCTATGACGCAACTGGGCAGCAGTCTGACCTTTCCCACATAGCGCTCAACGGCGCAGATGCACCCTGGCACCAGATGGCGGGAGCCTCGATGGAGCTACCGAATGCCCACGACCCGGTACATTGGCAGGGAGTCTATCCCGCCCCTCCATTCCATTCAACAACGAACGACTATGTTCCGGAAATTGAGACTTTTCTTGCCGATTTCGACAAGTCTGAGTTCAGCTGGAGCTTTCCTTTGACTAGCATTAGCGATCCCTACGACATAGCGAACTTCCCGAACCCGGGATATCGATGACGCAGGTAGGCACTCGTCAGCGCCGTCTTGGGATTTCCCAGGACTTGGAAGGATCCAGCTGCTTGAATGCGCTATCAATTGGGCCACGAGAGTGATCCATACGGATGGCTCCGGGGGTTGGGCTCGCATTTGGTGTTAGGCGGAGTAATCCGTTTTTGGATCTTGCTCAGCTCCCGGACTACTCCGTGTATGCCCCAATTTCGGAGCTCTAAACGGAGTTACCCAGGCCTTTCGACTGTCCGGACTTGAAGCAGGAGCTGCTACGAATTGTTCATGGCATCGCAATGACCAGCACGGTTTTGGTATCGCAGTACGAGTGGAAGGAGAATGAAAAAGATGCCGTGCCCTTGGAAGGTCTCTGGACTGGCACTGAGGCATAGAAACCGCAGTCATGTCGTTAGCGCTATTGAAGGCAACTAGGTCGAAAGGGAGCTCCTCATTCAAACAATCCTCTTACGCCGCATGGAGAAGACATTTTGCAACTCCAGCTGCATCTGTACAAGTTCCGTTAAGTCCTTTGGAGCCGGTAAGTCTTTTGCATAATTCCTGTCAAAACCAAAGCACTAAGTCTGACCGTGACCTAGTACAACCCATTGGATTATGGATCGCGACTACAAGCCCTTCATGACCTGCGAAAGTCCAATAAACGACCCCTGACTCTCTCCGAAAAGATCCTATACAGCCACCTAGTCCCCGGCAACGATGGGTGGTCGCTCGACGAAATACATCGAGGCAAGACAATATTGCGCCTGCGACCCGACCGAGTAGCATGTCACGATGCCACAGCAACAATGGCCTTGCTTCAGTTCATTAGCGCTGGTCTTCCACGCGTCAAAGTTCCGACATCCGTACACAGTGACCACCTGATCGTTGCCGAGAAAGGTGACAAGGAGGATCTCGCCCGTGCCGCTAGCGACCACGAAGAGGTGTACGCCTTTCTCGGCAGTGCGACGAGGAAATACGGAATCGGGTACTGGAAGCCAGGAGCGGGGATCATACACACAACCATCTTCGAGAACTACGCATTTCCAGGCGGCCTGATGATTGGCACGGACTCGCACACACCGAATGCCGGAGGAATGGGCATGCTAGGCATCGGTGTCGGTGGAGCTGATGCTGTCGATGCAATGTCTGGTATGCCGTGGGAGCTCGTCTGTCCAAAGGTCTGCGGCGTGCGCCTGACCGGCAAACTCCAGGGATGGAGCTCGTCAAAGGACATAATCTGCAAGCTTGCAGGTATCCTCACTGTTTCTGGAGGTAAAGGCAAGGTCATTGAGTTCTTTGGTCCAGGCACCGAAACGCTGGGAGCTACGGCAATGGCAACCGTCTGCAACATGTCTGCCGAAATTGGGTCAACGACTTGCGTGTTCCCTTACTCTGAAGCCATGTCACGATACCTATCAGCCACGAATCGGAAGAATATCGCCAACTATGCCGATATTTTCAAACAGCCACTTCTTGTTGGAGACGAGGGCTGCGACCGCTATTACGACGAAATAATCGAGATAGACCTGTCTTCCCTTGAGCCTCACATTAATGGCCCCTTCACCCCAGATCTAGCACACCCACTATCTCAATTCAAACGACACGTCAGCGAGAGCTCATGGCCGTCAGACATCTCTTGCAGTCTTGTCGGGAGTTGCACCAATAGCTCGTACGAAGATCTAGAAAAGGTTCGCCATCTCGTCGTTCAAGCCAAGGAAGCTGGGCTAGAGAAGACAAAGACTCGGTTCCTGGTCAGCCCAGGAAGTGAGCAAATCCGTGCTACGGCAGAGGAGGAAGGGATTCTCGATACGCTCAGACAAGCTGGAGCAGTTGTTTTGAGTAATTCCTGTGGCCCATGTGTCGGACAATGGGATCGGGAAGACGTCGATGTGAAGAACGCCGAGAGGAACTCGGTCATTTCCAGCTTCAACCGCAACTTCACAGGTCGCCATGACAGCAATCCGGCCACTCATTCTTTTGTCACATCACCTGAGCTTGCCGCAGCATTTGCCTTCGCTGGCAATCTCACGTTCAACCCCATGACTGATGACATCCCCATACCTGGTCCTCATGGTGCTCCCAAGAAGTTCCGTTTCACGCCCCCTCAAGCTGCCGAGCTCCCGATGGCCTTCTCTCCAGGCGCCGACCGTTTTCAACCTCCTGTACTATCGGACACAACAGACTTTAAAGTCAACATCCTCCCTTCCAGCAATAGACTCCAACTCCTTACACCATTTGACGGATGGCAAGCCGGCAAAGCGCGTGACATGAACATCCTGATCAAGGTGCGTGGAAAATGTACGACAGATCATATCTCGCCCGCTGGTCCTTGGTATAAGTACCGGGGCCATCTGGAGAATATCAGCAACAACATGCTCCTCGGAGCCACCAACGACTTCTTAGGCGACCCCAGCTCATTGAACATGGTTGGCAAAGCCATGGATCCGGTCGATGGCCAAATCAAACCCGTGCCTCAAGCTGCGAGAAGCATGAAGAGCGCTGGCATCAGGTGGTGCATCATCGGAGATGATAATTACGGCGAAGGAAGCTCGCGAGAACATGCTGCACTGGAGCCGCGATATCTGGGTGGTGTTGCCGTCATTGCCAAGAGCTTTGCCAGAATTCACGAGACGAACTTGAAGAAGCAGGGCATGTTACCGCTCACGTTCAGTGATCCCGCAGACTACGGCAAAATACAGAAAGGGGACCAAATCACGCTTGCAGACGTCGAAGATGCTGATTTGCGGCCCGATAAACAGGTAACCATGGAGGTCGTCACCCTACAAGGTTCCAGGTGGACGACCAAGTTGAATCACAGTTTCGAAATCAACCAGATTGAATGGTTGCGGGCGGGGAGTGCGCTTAACCACATCAAGCGCGTTGCACTTCGTGGCGAAGCATGATGATACCTCGTCGGCGTTAGGCCCCGAGACCCTAGAGGGATCATATGATAAAATGCCAAATTCTGTTCTGCATAGCGTTCTGCCTGATATCATAATAACAAAGTAACCTTTACATAGGCTCGGACGTGTGCTGTTGTCATCACTATGATAATTCTTGAACTCCTTACGGATGTCGTAGCCATGATAAGGTACTATTGAACGAGAGATTGTTGTGCGGAGTGTGTAAGTGGAGCAAATTATGAGGCGATGATGTCCCGCCTTAACATACCCTCAGCGTTATGGAACCCGTTATATGCGGCGAGATGTTGAAATGGAACGGGATGGATGTTCACGATTCATGTTGTCAAGCCAAGCTCGCGAGACCGGTGGTCTATGGGGGACTTTTTCGCAACTTCATGATGGCGAATATCAATTTGCATTCTCAAGGAGTAGTCCGGGCAATGAGATTGGACTTCTCCATGTGACGGACTGTTCCGCTGAGACACGGACTACTCCACTAGGCAAGGGAGTGAAGGGTTGAAATAGTTCCGAGATGACCTTTACCAGCCTTAGCAGTGGCTGGAATAACCCGAGACAGGTACGGGGAAGCCCACTATCGAACTCCTTGACTTCTCTATCTACACTGGCATGGCAGACACCTGAATCTTTCGATTCCGTGGCCACCTATTGGCTGGATGCTTGTATGAAGTAGAAGGATAGGCTGGGCGTGTAATCCTCATAGCTTCAGGTAGACCTTTGTACGGATACTCTACTAGCGGGTAAGAACCTGGGGTTAGATTGGGGGTATGCGGGGTAATTCTGGGGTTTCCGTCTTGTCGCTCGACGATCAGAACAGACTGACATTTGTGTCTCCCTTTGGTGTGTGTCTGAAAAGTAATGCTGATGTTCAGAAAGACATAACTTAAGACCCCTCGTCACCAAGCACCATGCCGCGTTATTTCCACTGGCATGCCTTCTCTTGTTCTTGCAGTAAGAGATATTGGATAAATGTTTCATCTGCAAGAATTCTGATTGATCGTTTTAGCCTTCCCTTTCCTATTCACAAGCTTCAATACCAACAACAATGGCTGTTGATAAATCCAGGGAAAAGGGTGACACAATGCAAGCCAGCTCTGATCATATCGACGATTTACAAGCCTTTCAAGAGCAAGATATTTCCCTTGATAAAGATGTCACTGATGTCAACTTCAGCATGGCCGAAGAGGAATTCATTGCTCACGAGAAAAGTTTGGTGAGGAAACTCGACTACACACTCGTCCCTATGGTCAGTCGTCCGAAAACAGCAGCTCGAGATCCAGTACAATGGTTAACAGCTTCTAGGTTTGGCTCTTGTATCTTTTCAACTATCTTGATCGAAACAACATTGCGTAAGATTCTTATAACCTTCAACTCGTGCAATATTGGTCAGTCTTTAATAGTAACTGGTCACAGTCAAGCCCGATTGAGCTCATTTGAGAAGGATCTCAATCTGACTGGAAATCAATTCAACGTTGCTGTTTCCATCCTGAACATAGGCTATATGTTGATGCAGCTTCCCAGGTAAGAGAGACGTGCTTGAAATTCTGCCCATCCACGCTGAAGTACTGACATTCATCAAGTAACATGCTCATAACTCGAACACGACCCGGCATATACATCCCTGCTTGTACATCATTGTGGTCTATCGTCTCAGCTGCCACGGCTGGAGCTGGCAATTACACCCACCTTCTTGTTATACGATTCTTTCTTGGCATCGCGGAAGCCCCGTTCTTCCCCGGAGCCATGTATCTTCTATCATGCTGGTATCCACGCAAAGAGCTAGCATTGCGCACTGCCGTCTTATACTCTGGCGTCCTCCTTGCCACGGCATTCTCTGGACTTATTGCTGCTGGCGTGCTCTCGAGCCTCGAGGGCGCAAGGGGCATCGCTGGTTGGCAGTGGCTGTTCATCATCGAAGGAGCTGGAAGTTTCACCGCAGCGCTTCTAGGTTTCGCGCTGCTTCCTGACTTCCCCGGACAGAGGTCGGGTGTTGCCAAGTGGTTGCTCACAGATGCTGAGCAAAGAGTCGCGGTTGAGCGTATTCGAAGAGATCGGGTTTCTTTGCCAGAGGCAGACTCGAGTGTCTGGAACGGGCTGAAACTTGCCATCAAAGACCCCCGTACTTGGGTATTCGTGAGTCACGCTGAAATTTACAGAGAAAATATTACGCACAGAGATGCCGAACGGTACACTGACACAGCAGTAAAACAGGTGGTAATGCTGACCGCGAATCATTCAGCCTATGGCTTCAACAATTTCTTTCCCACGATCGTCAAGGGCTTTAAGCTTGGTAGCAACACCTTGACCCTCATTCTGACGGCGCCGCCGTACCTTCTTGCCACTGTCGTCGCATTCACGACTGCCTGGTCTTCCGATCGACGTAAAGAGCGCGGCTTCCACATCTCCGTGCCACAGGGCGTTGCATGCGTTGGGTTCATCATTTCGGTCTCCACGGTCAACATAGTCGCTCGTTATTTTGCTGCATTCCTTTACATCTGCGGGTGAGTTGAGCATATCCGGTGGTCAAGGAAGTAAACTTTAGCTGATACAATAATCCAGATGCTTTTCTTCCAATGCCATGGTCTTCTCGTGGGCTAGCTCCACGCTGAACCAAACTCCAGAGAAGAGGGCGTGTGCAACAGCCATCATCAACCTGCTCAGCCAATTAGGCAATATCTGGAGCCCCTACTTCTTTCCATCGAATGATGGGCCTCGATATGTTATGGCCAACTTGCTCATGATGGCATCGTCGGCCTTGAGTATTGTCACATGCGTGATCATGAAAATTATGCTTACCAGGGCCAACAAAAGCCTCAAGAGAGAAGGTAGAGACACAACACTGTACACATTGTAATTGATGATGGCATTTGGCAAAGATTTCGGTGAAATCCTGGAAACTGGATGAGAAAAATGGGAAAGACGAAAGATTTGCACCATTATTTTAATCTTCAAAGCAGCGCGGTAATGATGAAGTTGACGTTGAAATTTAGCATTAGTATATGGTCATAATTCTCATTTGCCATCAAAGAAATGCAGCATAACCAGTGCTCATCCAACTAACTCATCGATGGAGTGGTCATCGAAAGTCCAACTCGGTAAGTTTCAGCAAAGTTCTAATGAGAGCACGATCCCACGCTACCAACAGGGGGTAGGGAACCTTAAAGAGAGGTGAAGAACTTTAGCTCTGCACTGCCACAGATTTCGTGACTGCATCAGCAATGCCGAAAGAGGATGACCCGGTCTGCTATTTGATGGGATATAAGTAGATACGCAAGTAAGAAATGTCAAAATTCTTATGTCCAAGCACTGATAATCGTGATCTTGACGGTTATTGCCTTATCATAGGTTGAGAGACCATCTTACTATTGAAGCTACGTTTGGAGCACGATACCTCCAGCTCTGCATGACTGTATGAGTATGTCTCCCTTGAAACAATTCGACTAAAGAATAAGGTACGCACCTTATACTCCTCACAGCCAAAGACGATGATCTATGATAAATTTGAGGAGTGAGATATAACCGAATTGGCGAAGTTAGGGCCGACAGATGCGTGACTTACCTCGGGGACATTTTACTTGAAGTCCGTGTGACATCCGTTTGAACCTTAATAATGCTTCAACCACTCATGTAGATTCATGTCAAATTGACTCATCTCCTCTTTTCGATCCCAGTTCGTAGTCTCCCATATTCCTTCCAAAAAATCACATCATCATGGGAGGAGAAAAGAAACCATTCGAAATCGCCATCATTGGGGGAGGCATAGCTGGAATAATCCTCGCCATTTCGCTCGCTAAACGCAACGTACCCTGCATCATCTACGAGAAGGCCCATGCCTATACTGAGCTTGGAGTCGGCTTGGGAGTTTCGCCAAATGCTCTCAGGGCAATGATAACTTGTGATCCGGTAATTCTCGAAGCCCTCGAAAGTGTGGCCGAGCCTCTCTTCCGTTGGGAGGTGTTTGACGGTACGGATGAAGCAAACGAGGACACTGTTCTTTTCACACTTGGAAATTCTACTACAGGACTTAGGGGTTGTCACCGAGGCCAGTTCTTAACACACTTGCTCAAACATGTTCCCGATGACACGATACATTATAGTAAGGAACTGGAAAGCATTGAAGGGCCAGAAGAAACGGGCAAACGACTTCGAATGATCTTCCGAGACGGATCAGCCGCTGAGGCTGATGGAATAATCGGATGCGATGGGATCAAATCGCACACAAGAGGCATCGTCATAGGCCACGATCATGCGGCTACGAAGTGCACCTACACCCATAAGTACACCTACCGCGGTTTGATACCGATGAGTCAAGCCGTACAGATCTTGGGCCCAGACAGAGCAAGAACCTCCGGGCTGTGGGTAAGTTTCATTCTTGATCATGACAGTCTATCGTGGAAATGTTACCTAACAATGGATTAGGTCTGCAACGATGCACACATAGTCACCTACCCGGTGGCTCATGGGAAAATGCTAAATTTGGTCGCTCACACCTCGACCACCGAGGAGTGGCCGAGCGAGACCCAATTCACACTTCCTGCTACAGTAGATGACTGCATCAAAGATCTCAAAGCTTTTAGTCCGCGAATGCAGAAGGCGATACAGCTTTTGAAAGTTCTGGATAGGGTATGTCTGCGATGAACTCGCGCCCAGTCCTCATTTGTACCTTCAGATATCGAGTTAACGACCTATTTAGTGGGCTCTATTCGATCTAGGTGATGGCTCGGTCCCTACATTTGCGAAGGGCCGTATATGCCTTCTTGGAGACGCAGCACACGCATCCACCCCGCATCAAGGTGCTGGAGCGGGAATTAGCGTTGAAGACGCAGCAGTCATGGCATCGCTGTTGGCAGACCAACAGGTTCGAGATAGTACAGCGATTGAGGCTGCGTTTGCTGCATTCGATGCTAGTCGTCGGGAAAGAGGTCAATGGCTTATTCGGGAGAGTCGAAGGGCTGGCGAACTGTACGATCTCCGGACGGAGCATGGGAAAGACTTTGATAAGCTACGCGAGGAAATCTTTTCGCAGGCAGAGGAGTTGTGGAATTTTGACCTCGACAGAAACATCAGAGATGCGTTGGAGGACATGAGACGTCGTCTAGCTGCAGAATAGTGATGGTATTGATCTTATCGCATCGCCTCTATTGAGGTCGTTTTGTCCCTTCACGGGTGCTTAAGAACTGGAAGCCTTTTGACAGTGGACTAGAGGTTTGAAACTGGCAGTGACAAGAGCAAGTGAACAATTCAATTGAAGGAGCTATCAACAAACAACATACTCAGGCTCCGCGCACTGTCCAAGCAGCGGAGCTACTTGATATTGTGTTCCAATAATATGATGTCAGATGGGGCTTCCAGTGTTACGTAAATGTGGGCATTTAAAATTCTTCGCCCAAATCTGGCGATAAGGGTAAATACACTCCAGCACTCCGATGGTTATTTGTGAACAACGTCAACTTTTTGGGACTATAGTGTCACCTACAAATCAACCCCCAGCTTTTAACGAGATTCTACCTTCCAAAAGAGAAATTATGCCAGCAGATTTCGACAAGCAAAGTTACTGGGGCGAGCGCTTCGCATCCGAGACCAATTTTGAGTGGTTAACCTCGTCTGCAACCTTCATGTCGATCGTGGACCCATGTCTCACCAATCTGGACGACTCGGCTCGCATCTTGCAGCTAGGTTTCGGAACGAGCGACCTGCAGAACCATATCCGGGCAAGAGGTTTTCAAAACATTACCAACGTTGACTTCGAGCCTCGAGCCATTGATCGCGGCCGTATGCTAGAAAAGCAAGTATTTGGTGACGTGAGAATGAGCTACCTCGTTGCAGATGCCACGCAGCTCCAGCTCGGAGAGACGTATGATCTGATCATCGACAAAAGCACTGTGGACGCAATTTCCTGTGGAGGCGAAGAGTCGGTATTAAGAATGGCAGAAGGAGTGAGGCGACACTTGACCGACGGGGGCTTCTGGGTCTCGTTGAGTTATGCCTCCGGCCGCTTCGACGTTGAAAACCTACCTTTCGATGTTGAGGTTTTTGCGAAGATCCCTACGCCTAAGCTAAAGTCTACCGACCCCGATATCTACCATTGGTGTTACTTGCTAACGCCAAAGGCTTTGTAACGACGGTCAGTCATATCCGTACGGTCCGTCGCAATTGAGGCGCATCAGAGACAGGGTCTATCACTTCTCAGCAACCATGAGATACCCAAACAAGGTTATGGTGAAGGCTCAAGAAAGGGAGTTAAGAAGAACGGAGTGTTTCAATGTCTATGTTTAATCATCTATTTCTATCATGAATCGTCATGTCTCCATACCACTGCGCTCTATGCCAATGGTTTACCTGGCTTGAAAGCAGGGTGAAACGGGTAGTCTATGTAACCCTGCGGGATGGACGGCGTGTAGAAAGTGTCGCGGTCATACTTGTTCAGTGGAAGGCTGTGCTTGATGCGGAATGGCAAATCCGGGTTTGCCAAGAAATGACGGCCGAAGACAACAGCGACATCCCACTTGGCATACTCCTCGTCGACAGCCTTCTGAGCCAGCTCGGGTGAGAATCCGCCTGCGACAAAAACGGGCGAAACCTTATCCCAAATCTCCAAGAGGTACTCGATACCCTCGATCTTCTCGACATCTTCCCAGTTGTTGACTCGAGACTCGATGATGTGCAGATAGGCAAGCTTGAGCTCCTTCAACTTCTGCGCGAGGTAAGAGAATTGAGGCACGGGATCCTGCATTCTCATCGCCTGAAACGTGCTGTACGGGCTGATACGGAATCCAACTTTATCGCTGCCAATCGCGTCGGCCAGCGCGGCTGCGACATCAACGGGAAATTTAGCCCGATTCTCGACGCTGCCACCCCACTGATCGGTGCGCTGATTGCAGGTATCTTGTAGAAATTGGTCAACGAGGTAGCCATTCGCGCCGTGGATCTCGACGCCGTCGAAACCAGCTGCGACCGCGTTCTTGCCAGCCTGCGCAAAGTCCTTGACAGCGGAAGCAATTTCTTCGGCTGTCATCTCGCGGGGCACCGGAGACTCAGGGCTAATGGGGATAGCGCTGGAGCTGAGCAGCGGATGGCCGCCCTCTTTCTCTAGAACAGGGACGACGGCGGCCCGGCCCGGTGCGATAAGTTGGGCGTAAATGATGCTACCTTTCTCGTGTACAGCATCTGTGACCTTTTTCCAACCGGCGATCTGGCGCTCGTTCCAGATGCCCGGGGCGTTGGGAAAGCCACCATGCTCCGGGGAGATGAGCACGGCCTCGGCGATAATGAGTGTACCGGGAACGGCGGCGCGCTGGGTGTAGTACTCGAGGGCGATGTCAAGCGGGATGTGGTCTGCATCGAAGCGAAAACGGGTGAGGGGCGCCATCACCACGCGGTGAGACAACTGGGCCTGGCCGACCTTCAGCGGCTGGAAGAGCTTGGACGACATGATGTAGGCTGAGGGTTTATCCCAGGTAGTCTAGGGAGAGAGTTTGCTAGTATCAAATGAGACAGTAGAGTTGAGCGTGATTAAGATGGCCACCAAGTTGATCTTATCCAGATGCCGCTTTGAAGAGGGCGGTCTGCCCCTCATAAGTAAGCACCTCCATTTCATTCTCACTGTTACTGTGGGTTCATAAAGATGGAGGTGAGCACCTATTTGGTAGGTCGCAATGTTCTGCCCCTTGGCGTAACGGCCCAGGACCAGGGGTTTGGGATGGAAGCTATCGGAGCTTTTGCAAAAAAGCGAATGGTGTTGGAGACTTTGGAAAGAGAGGAGCCAATAGCGTGTCACGGTCGCTCGAAGATACTCCAAGGCCTGTTGGGGTCAAAACAGGGCCCGCCACGGATACAGAGTCCGAGAATTTGCTTAGAAATGCCCAGCAGTGGAACGTCCAGTCAACTCCACTTGGGCCGTGTCGCAAAGCAAGAGCAGCCGTGTTTTTCCGTTGCCTTAAGATTTCATAGCCTAAGAGTACCAAGACCAAACCTTTGTGTTACTTACATGATGATTGTCATCTCCCATTGTGTCACGTCAACTTACTCAACAACTCAACAGTACGACGCCACCGAACAATCTTCGTAATTTGCTTGTAATTATTCTAGACTGATCTATGAATGTTCTATTATTATGCTTGTCTACTTAAATCTTGAGACCCTGACGCCGATGTCATCAATGGACATGCTTGTTGATATACTCCAACACATATTTCGCAACTGTTTCCCACCCGTCTTGAAAGATAAGGCCATGGCTCATCCCTCCGAACTCCTTGTATTTCACTGGCGCACGTCCTTTATATGCCTTGAACTCCTTCCTGACCGTTCTTGCTGTCACAATATGATCTTTCGAGGCTCCTATGAGTAACAAAGGAGCTCTATCCGGTTTGTCAAACTGGACGTAGTGAGGCGCGGCTTCTCCAGCTGTCACGTTGGTTGCTAGTTGCCATAAGACCCGAGAATCTGCAGGTATGCAATACCGCTCCCACAATTTCTTGCTCTCCTCAGCGGTAACGAGGTTGCCGAAGCAGTAGTGGAAGTGACTCTCGGAGATCGGTACTGTCGCATCCGAATGCAGCGGATGAGTGAAGATGGGCATCGCCGTCCTTATTGTGCTTGGCGAAATGTAGATGATCCCCGCCGGTTGCGCAGGACACACAGCGATTCCGAGTGCGCCAAGTCCTCGCGATAATAGTATTTGGGCGAACAGGCCGCCGAAAGAATGGCCAATGATGATTGGGGGTTCTGCAAGCTTCTTGATATATGTCTCGTAATGGTCTACAATGTCTTCGATTCGATGAAGGGATATCGGCTTCGGGTCCGCACAGATCTCTTCATGCGTTCGGCCGTCCACTCCCGGCCAACCCGGGGCGTGGACCTCGAATCCTTCCTTCTGGAAATATGGTATCCAATACTCCCATGAAAGAGGTGTCATCCACAAGCCGTGGATGAGCACGATGGGAGGCTTAAAAAAATCCATAAAAACTTGGCTGAATTGCCAAGAAGCGTGTCTTTGAAATTTACATTGGGTCCATTCAGGGAGGTTGCTGGGAGTTTTATTGGTGATGCGCTTTGTGGCTGGCGTTGGTACATGACGTCAAGACTGTTGCGCAACGCGTCGTTGACAAAAGCCACGCTTTTGACGGCATGCCAAGCGCCCGCCCGTTATCCGAGGGTTCGGCGCAAACGGCTGCCTTCAAAAGTCCCTTAGTCGAAGTTTCCCGATCATCCAAACTATCTCGATCTGTTGGTTGTGTCTCTGATGTATTTCACGCTGAGCTGACGGGGCCGGAGCATTTGCAATCGAGGATTCGCTGACCCAGCCCAATCTACTCTTCAGCCACCAAACCGAACTTCGAATTCTTCCATTAACTGTGACTCTGTGGGAAGTTGTACGCATCCAAAGTGCAGATCTTGCGATCGGGCACCAAGAAATATTCTAAACACAGCGACCGGCAATTTCCTCGTCAGCACTTTTACTCGTTACTGCACCGAAAGTGTGGCTTGGCCCTTGAGTTTCCTGTCATGCCGTCCGAACTAGTGCTGTCACATGAATTTGGGCACTAACACCAACGCTTGGCAGTGGCTCGTATCGGGAGGTTTCCAACTTTATCGCTTTCCTCCGAAATAACACACGCTCCGACGACCCTTCGCAGCCAGTAACTCACATCACACAGTGACTATTGTAGCTCCGGCTGATAGTAGAATCAAGGCGAATCAAAACTCAAGGCGACTTACACCAGTCAATTTCGTAATGCCGGGCTACGGGCAGTCGGCAATCAATTACCGGCCTCAACCATGCGTACATCTGGCTGCCCTGCTTGTAGACTGCATGTAATATCTTCAAGGGCCCCAATTGTGAGTAATCCAGAACCACAGTCACCTTTAACCATATACACAAGTGACTACCTTAGGGACTATTGGCTACCTCTAGGGCGAATGCTGTCTGAAAGGATTCTCAATCATTTAGCCCACGGTCTCTTCATGCAAATAAGTGGGCGTATGGCAGCGCAGCCACGGCAGCGGTGGGCACGAGAGTTAATAATATGTTGATTTCAAATCAACCTCGTGGAGTAAAACCTCCAACTCGGATTAATCCTCGTTGGAGTCAGAATAGTATGTGCCTGATGTTGAAGTATGTGCCTTATAGATGTATGAGCCTGAATTGAAGTTTACGATGTTTGGCCCCACATGCATTCCCGGGCCACGGACTGTTGTTCCTCTACCCGTTGTCAATCGCATTTCTTTTAGAGCGATCTTGACTGGTGTGACCTCTTAGGACTGATGAAAAGTGATCATAGAAAATTGGTCTATGAGCCACTACGAATGGAATTGACAGTGACGAGGACACAGAGGCTTTCGTGCAATATTGCTTGCTATTTCTTTTTTCCATTTTCTTACCGTTACCATCCAGAAACAGGTCATCCCAGTGCGTTCCGTTTCGAGCATCAATGGGTCATCAAAAAGTAATCACAGAATCTCTCAGGCTTTTAGATACTTTGATCGCAAGAAGTGCTAAATTCTGTTAACGCCATGTCTTTGGTTCGAAGACATTATTGTAATTCAACGGAAAGTGCTTGTCGGTCGTAATCCCAACCCACTCTTTTCATATGCCATATCAATCATCTTCATCTGCTTGATCGAGTCTTCCTCAGTGATCCAGTAATGTGTCTCGCGCCCCTTGACCCGGTTGACAAACGCCTCGAGCTGATACCGGAATGACGACCACCAGTACTCGCCCAGACCCGGAAGCCCGTCCTCGGCATCTTGAAACGTGTACGCTGTGTGCGAACTCGATTCTACCCACTTCTTGACTGTTTGACCGTTGACAACGTTGCGAATCTCATACGAGTCTTCAACATCAATCCGATGCCAGGCGACCGCGTGCATGAACCCATGGAGAGTGACTAACCGCGTGCGCGTCATCTCCTGAGTGTCCGGCAAGTTCTTGTCGGGAACCACAACCTTCCTATGTGTAACTCTGGCTTCAGAAGGCTTCCAGAGAGCAGGGCCCTTCACAGTGGTCGTGGCATAGCCAGTCCCGTTGGGAAATTGAAACCTGGCCTTGAAAGTGTAGTCGCACTGTTTGCAGTCGCCATCGTCAAAGACTGCAGTATCGCATTCGAGACACTCTTCAGGCTCTTGGCCAAAGATCATGCGCATGACTCCAAAGTTGTACGTTCCGAGTGCCATGATACTGCCGCCTCCGAGATGGTATTTGTGGTTTAGGTTGTCCGCCGCAGTGAACCAGGCGGGTGCCATGCTGTCTGTGTGAACGTGAATGACGTCGGCAGGAGTGACAAAAGTCATGAATTTGTGCAGTGCGGGATGGAATTTGTTGTGCATAGCTTCCAGCAAGACCCTCGGGCTTGGGTGTGCTGACGACAGTTCTGGCATATTGAAAAGGATATCGGCCTCAATCGCGTTATCAACCGACGGCTTTTCGACCAAAACATGTTTTCCAGCTCGTATTGCTCGTGAAGACCACTCATAATGCAAGGCGTTTGGCAAGGGCACAAAAATGGCGTCGATATTTGGGTCATCGAGGATTTCTTCAAGAGTGGTTAGAGTCACTTGGCTCATAGGATATCGACATCGAGTGTCTGGAACTCGATATACCTTGATAAGTGTCCCTGACCTCGGGGATACCATGCTTCTTAGCAAATTCCTCAGCGCGAGAACGATCTCTGGCAGCAATGGCCTGGACGATGACTTCTGGGTGTGACAAAGCCGGTGTAATCAATGCCATAGACCTTGTAAATTTCAGATTATTACGAAATGTTCTTTGACATCGGGCTACCGATTATACTCACACGATTTTGGCAGCACCCAGAACTCCAACTTTCATTCCACCGTCTGTCTTCTTTACTACAGGCGGGTTGAATGCCTTGTAAACACGGATTGGAAGTAGTGCCATCTCAGCGACTCCGGTGATAGTTTCCAGTCATGAGCCCGAAGGATGATGAACGTACGAATGGTTGAGAACATATAGGCCGAGTCAACGAAAGAAATTGAACCAACTCACGTACTTAGTTACTTATGATCATTGAACCAATTTTGTTTTTCTGCCTGGAGCCCAAGATTCGCCGCCAACTTCCGGGTGAGGACGGATGTATTCTTTAGCGCTGTCAGCAATGCACAGCCCCAAGGTCACATCGTTGGAGCACTCCTACATACAGTCAGCAGCATTGGGAACGAGGAGCGATCGGCAGATTGTCCCACATCATCTCCAAAAAAGAAGTTCAAAATGTGAGGGCTCCGCTCGATCTTCTCGAGTCTGGTTCCCGGCGTAGCTCTGACTGCAGCGGACGAGCGGTGCAGAGCTCGCGAACACTTTGCAATACAGACGATGGCAAGCTTCATGAGCCGGATTCGCTGAGGGGAGGCCGATGCCTTCTATTCCCTGCGAAGCAATCTGCAAGTCCCTCGTCTGACGTTGCTGAGTGAGTTTTGCATGATCAGGGCAATTCCGCTACCTCCCAGGATACTCTATACCCACCCTGCACGGGAAGCAATCTGAGACTTAACAATCTCTTCAGTAGGCACACATGAAGTATACGAGAATGTGCTGTATAAAAGTGTCCACATCCTACAATCTTGTTCCACATTGTTTTCATATCTTGTCCAAAGCTAAATCTTACTCATCCTAGCTTAAGAAAGCACGGAGAGTTACAGCACATTTACTTCGATAGGGCATCGCATATGGCAGTATCCTTGCGTATCATCAATCTACCAATACCAAGGCATAATAGCCCGTCTCTCTATTATGGGTGTCCTGTTCAGCCCGACCCTACGTAATCACTATCAATAATACCATCATATGGAAGATTGATCTCCCTTAGCATCGGAACCCGGGTCGGCCTGCCTTCACGCTGTCCTCCTATATTTGACCTAAAAGGTGTATTACAAGGGCGCGCCCGAATATGAAGGTGAGAGGGATTTCATTCGAATTTCAGAAAGAGACTCTTCTCCTTTCGGAAGAAACGCTCTTTGCGTAGCACCGGAACTATTCCAGATATTTCATGCATTCGGTTCAAGGGAAGATGAAGAGTTCGACAAGGGATGTTTTCTGACTACCTTAACACAAAGATACAGGCAATATCACTAATGAAGGATGTAAAAGATCCAGTTTCCAGATTTACTCGTAGTCAATCACAATAGCTTTAGGCCTAGTAGTTAGAGCGAAGGATGAGCCGGGCATCCCGACCGTCTACAGGTACGTTAAGGGCGGCCTGGCACTTCATAACCTCCACGGTACTAGTAACCTGAGGTCCAGGTGTCCGCAGGTCAGGAGGTGAACGGGTCAGAAGTCAACCGGACATCCGAAGCATACCTCCCAGTTGGCGTAGAACTATGAGTCGGCAAATTGATTCGATGATTGCGAGCTACCCCTCATTTCCGTGGCAATGGCACCTAAGGTCCAGTCCCATTGCAGATGATTGAAACAAATCCAATGGGACGAACGAATCGGATAATTTGGAGATGAACCTTCTTTCCCCAGGCTTTGCTGCCAGGCAGGCCAAGGTCCCTACCGTGTCTTTGTAATCGGACAACATAAAGACCGAGTTACCCCTCTTCTGGACATTGGTGATAGGATCGATCTTTCTTCGTACATGATAGATTCGACGTCCATTTACTGTAGCTGACCCTATTCCTATACATTCAAAGTGCATTAAAGAGTTCTTCTGTACGACGACAACAATGGCACCTTCCGCGACTGAAAAGGCACAAGCCAAGTTCTTTGCCATCCTGGAAGATCCCCGACGTTATGACTCTTCAAGTTTGTCGCCCCAGCTTAGAATTGAAACCAACGCAGGATCAGAACTGACTTCGAGACTGAAGACTCCAAGAACAGGGTCATGATAACGCGAACACCGTCCAGTGGTTCCGATTTGACCAACAACATGACTGGTCGTCGTGGTAGCGCCAGCAGTCAAGGCTCTGCCACTGACCAACATCATCTTCGAAATAGACTCAAGACCTGGCTCTATCCCGGAGCGGTTTGATACAATTCGTCAAATCTTCCTATTTTCAAACGCGCTATAATTATTGGAGACGCCAGACTGGACATTCGTCTCTGTGTTGTCTGATGTTGGCGTTTTGAGTCAACTTTCCCAAACCGTTTTCTAGGTCTCTCGGGGATACTGGGATGATCGCAGATTGCCGGGAGTATGACTTGTTTCAAGGATGGTGTTATACTGTTTATGTCCTCTATTATTTTGGAATGTAACAATTTGTCTAGGATAGGAATTTATGAATGAGTTCTACTCGAAAGACCTCTCATTGTTTATCTGTTCACGATTTACCAAGTCTTCGTTGGGCTTGAGGTATGAAATGGAGACATGATAAAATGAATGCCGTAACCATGATCGCTGACACGAGACACATATCTTCTAAATCAGTGACGGCTTGCGAAATACTTCTTCAGATGTATACAGCCGAGCAAAACTTCCAGTAGTTTCCCATGTGGCCATGTATTATCCGTCTACAAGCTACTCCACACAGCGTGTAATCAAGGACGCAGTGAGCCGGCATGACGCAGGGGAACATTGCGTTGAGGAATTACCTAGCCCCATAAGCAAGCTTGAGAGAAAAATGAATAATCATGTATTTCTCGCGAGCAAGTTTCAAACGAGGTGTTCTGACGGCGTGCAAAGACCAATCAAATCTGTTTGGTTTCGTTCATCATCGCTTCTAACCAGACGGCTTTCTCGGTCCCAGTCTCGCAAGCAACTTCGATAGAATCTTCTCTTTGGAGTATTCAAGATCTCTTATATGCCACAGAAGGAGGAACACAAGTCCGATAGCAACCATTTCTCGTTGTGGGTCCCGACTATGAGGCAGAAGCAGAACTCCCTCACTGTGGTCAACCGGGTGGTGGGGATGACCTCCAGCGTGGTGATAGACTGCCATGATATGTGACTCCGTTTCTTCACCGTGATTTCTTTGGTCGAGTTCCGTTAGATGGTAGCAGAGTGAGCCGACATCTTGAGGTCGTAGCTGCCACTGCATTCCAGGGTGATCATCTGATGTCATGTTTATGGCTGGGTATTGTCTTGATCTTGACAGAGAAGGCCCATTTCTTCCCACTGAAAAAGGTGGAAGTAGGGATGCGAGAACATGAACGTTGCCCAGACCAGGTACTTCAAGTGCTGATCCTCCCTGCCGTTCGTTGGGAAGAGTTCTAAAGGCACTTATCAGTCCTTCAATTTGTTTACGTGAGAGTGAGCTGGATTCTCTGCCTTACATTGTGATGGCGTGATTATCATCAAGAACCACGCTTCTTTGATGGACTGTGACAAGAATTTGATTAGGCGCCACGTCGATGAAGAATTCGACATTAGAATCCATTTCGTCGCCTTTAGGTCGGCGGATGAACATCATGTTGATTTTGTACATGCCAGATCCCATGGGGGCGTCCTTAACAGCCTCATTATAGATATCGTTGATATCGTACCTGGTAGGTGTGTCACTGTGCTGGTATGTCTTGGGAAGAAGAGAATCCGAGAGAGCCCTGCCGCTGGATGAGGAACTCCGTTCCTTTCAGTTTGGGCGAGACTTTGGGATGCAATCGGTTCAGAAGTGTAAAGAAGAGGTTTGTGCAGACTGTCGAGACTGTCGTTACTCTCCATGTGAGCCTCTATATACCAATAATAGGGGTCGGTTGGTTGACACATTTCAGAATCGAACGACGGAGGTGAAAGCGACTGAGTTCGGAGAACTTTGAAGTTAATGAGAAATTTCCAAATGAATTCATAAGGACACTGGAAACCTGAATTTAAAGGATTGGGGACATATTTATTAGGACTTCGCTAAAAACCCTCCTCTACTTCACTCGATTTGCGTGTTGCGACTAGCTTGAGCCTATGCCGTCGCAGATTGAGCCTTCCCACCTAACTTTTAGTATTACCGGCATAGCATCCTCCAGCTGCGACGGTGGAGTCTCCGAATACGTGAACAAATCCGGAAAACAATTCCCAGACGAGTCTATGTCGCACAATGGATATCAACACCGGCGATCGAGCCCTAGCTTCAAGTCGTGCTCGAATTTTGTGCGACATTTGCATTTTCAAGATTCACGTGCGCCGAGAAGTTCGAGGATTATCAACCCGCCGGCTGGTTGTCTAACCTAAAAGGGTACATGCTTCAACCGCTCCACTTGACCGCTACCCAGGCCCCGAACTGGGGTTATCTTAGATACAGTCCAACTCGAGACTCATTTGTTGGACTTATTTTCAATGCATTAGTTCGGACGCAATCCCGCCTTGAACCTTAACTTTTGATGGTGTAATTCATAGGACCACGTCGTTGCGGCTGGGACCCCGACTCTGGGATTTGAAACCCTGTGTGCAGCCATACTAGTCTAGTACGTGAAGGTAGACAGCTATCATTCATCGAATCTTGACCCAGCTCCATGGTCAGGAAGTAGGTACTTTTGTAGGGTACCACGACGGGAAGAACTCTGCGTTGGTTTTGGCTACAGACAAGATGGCCGCTCCGATCATCGATGAGCCACGTTCATTCTGATAGGGTTGCGTGCGGCATACATTAACCGGTACATCGGTCACAGATCTGCAATTGCACAGGAATCCCTTTCTACGAGCGATTCCTCGGCAGTGTCCCAGCCGGTATCTGTTCCGATGCGGCGCGGCGTTTGCACACCTTCACAGGAGGATTCGACTTTTTTAGACCTCGCTGCCTATTGTGCATGCAAGCATAGCAGATCTTACCACCCAGTTCTACATAAGACAAGCACATCATGCATCTTTGTCACTTCAAAGTACTTCACCCACACGGAGGTCATGTCTGTATTAATACAGCACATCTGGAGGATTCGCATTTCCATAAGGATGGTGGCATCACACAGGGAGTATGGTTCGGGCTCCCATATACTAAGCAACCTTTCAACGATGATCATCTTTCGCATGGTAACAAATCGGCCTTTTGCCATGGCACATCCGGCATTCGTTTAGTCTACTGACCCCACTGCACCTTGAACTGGGCAAACTCGACTTTCAGCCCATCCTTGGCGTCCTTATCCGGTCTCGCAGCCAGCGGACTGACATCCAAGACCCAGTCACCCTCATTCTCGTCCGCAAAGATCCAACAAATTTTCCTCAGAGGGATTCTCTTTTTGATGTTTCCGTCTTTATCCAGCAACAGGTGGTGTACCCAAGCATTTTTACCTTGGGGACCTCCGTCCCGGAAGACCTCAATCGTCACGCTCTTATTGTCCTCGCCATCCCCTAGGGTCAAGGGATAGAGGCCCCAGTCGGCATACCGGTCACAGGTGACTGTGCTCAAGTGAGGCTGGCCATCATATAGCTCGATTCCGGTCTTGATCCATTTACTGTTTGGAGGCGCTGCCTCTGAGGCTAGTCTCGGCACAAGAAGCACACCAGATTGGTCGTATGAGTGGGCCCAGGGAGCCGAGAAAGTGACGCGAACTGAAAGGAAGTTCTTCAGAGGGCCAGTGCTGGTATGGATATTTGGAACTATGAATCGTCAGTGCATGTCGCAAGTGTCACAATATGAAAAATAGCTAGTGGAGAGGTCCGAATTTGATTCTAGGCGGCAGGCCGAGACCCAAGAAATGAAGAGGTTGAGGTGGCATGTATGTTACATGTACTTACTGTTCCATGCGTTGTGTCCGGGCTTTCTCCAGATATCAGTCCCGGGATCCGCCTCAACGGTGAACGGCGTTGTATTATCCAGAGATGCCATATTCGGTAAAAGGACCAGGCTAGTAATTTGTGTGTTTTGGGTGAATGTGAGTGCAGGTGTGCATGGGGGTGAGTGAGCTGACCTCTATTTATTCTTTAAATGCCCTGCGTTGCACCGATTTCTTATTAAGCATAAGGAAGCCCCTTACACCATTTCCTAATGGCTCGAGGGTGGCCTAAATTAGCCCCGCGCGGGGCATGAGCTGATTGCGTTCTCGGTCAGCCCTACTGACCCCAGTCCAAGCCAAGGCCTTCAGCAGACACTAGCTAGGCTCAATGAGGCCGAATAAGGGTCGATCTGTAGCATCCTGGTCGTGGACTATTTGACCTGAAGAGCTCAATCATAGTTTTGTTCTATCTAATCTATGTGGTTTTGTGCGTGGTGATCGTATCCGATCCAATGTGAGTTGGCTTGACAGACTGTCTTGACATGAAATGCAAGAGAAACGATAGAAAGGAAAGGAAAATAGAAAACTAGTGAGAGACCAGTACAACCATAGAACGTAACTCTTGATCGCCCATCATGCTCAAATCTGCCCTTTTGCTCTCATCTCGTCAAAAACACTGTCCACAACTCGCTTGGCACGACAAACGATCTCCTCCACATCCGTGGGGGTGACGGTGAAGGGCGGGGCAAGAAGAAAGTGATCTCCGTTCCAACCATCGGCGCAGCCCGTGGAGGAAAAGAGGCAAACATCGTAGCCCTTCTCAAGTCCACGAAGACGCATACGGCGAGCAAGATTCAAGGAAGGGTCCAGGGGCGCCTTTGTAGTCTTGTCTGCCACAAACTCAATGCACCAAAACATGCCGCGGCCGCGAACATCGCCAACGTGGGGATGGTCTTTGAATGCCTGACGAAGGAGGTGCCCAAATAGGATGCCCATGAGACGCGCGTTGCGAACAAGGTGCTTCTCCTTGATGATGCGCTGCACCTCGACGGCAGCGACAACGTTGAGCGGGTGACATTGGTACGTTTGTCCGTGCTGAAAGGAGGCGCTACCCTGCTTGAGGCCCTCGATGACGCGTTCATGAATGAGAATGGCAGAGATTGTGCCATATCCAGCTGCAAGTCCCTTGCCCACGGCCTGAATGTCAGGAACGACATTGTCATGTTGCCAGGCGTGCATGTAGCCGGTTCGCCCTAGACCGCACATGACCTCGTCAAAGATGATGAGAGCACCATGACGATGACAAACATCTTTCATAGCCTGCAGATATCCGGGCAAAGCTGTGACGCATCCGAGGGCCTGGGAAATTTAGCAAGAGAACTAAGAAGAAACAGACCAGGCTGAGTATAGCTTACAGTGCCAACCATCGGTTCGATAATGAAGGCGCACACATTGTCTGGGCCTAATCTCTGGAACTCGCCCTCCAGCTCAAGAGCCAATCGCTCTACATACTCCTCAACCGATTCACCACTTTCTAGCTCTCTGTAGGGATGGCAAGGAGACACATGGGAAACATTGTCAGCCAGGACGTCCATGAAAGGTTCTTTACGGGCCTTCAAGTCGCCAACGGCCAAAGTGCCCAGAGTACAGCCGTGCCAGGAGCTCTCCCTGGCGATGAATTTGGTACGAGGAGCTTTGGGATCTTTCTCAAGGAAGTATTGCCGAGCAAGCTTCAAAGCTCCCTCGACCGCCTCGGAGCCTGCCCAAAGTATCAGTTTTCGGTCTTATGAACTCTGTCAAAGTCTTGTTCTTACCAGATCCTAGGAGGCACGCTCTCGACAACTGACCATTGGTCGACTTAACCAGAATATCGGCAAGCTCATGAGAAGGATCATTCTGGAAGTAGCCTGGGTGAGCATAAGTGAACTTGTTGAGCTGCTTGATGATGGCGCTCTTGACTCGCTCGTTGCCATGACCGATGGCAGAAACTGCTGCTCCACCAGTGGAGTCGAGAATCTTTTGGCCATTCTTCAGGGTGAAGTAGAGTCCATCGGCATATTCAACTGTAGGAGCTGAGGAAGGGTAAACGCTCTGATAAAAGAGCGAGTTCTCTGCGGGAACAAGGTCATCGGCGATTGCGAGGGAGCCCATGATAAGCTTTGGGGGTATGGTATTAAATCAAGGTAAAATTGATACGGATGTAGATGAAAGATTGTAATGTCTGGGTCGGTGGGAGAAAGAAAAAAACCGGTTTCGGAGATGCGATTTCTTGTGAACTAAATAGTCTGAAATGAAAATTTGAGAAGACGTATCCAGAGTAATCCCGAACTCCGTCTGTATTAGATATGCCAACCAATTTCACGACCCCCGAGTCCGCTCCGAGCTGCTGTGATTGAAATGCCGCAAGCAGGGGATGTTCCATCTTCCATGAAACTTCGTACTGCATTTTAGGCAGCTGCCTACATCCAACCATGTTCCACTAACCATCTAGAGACATAGATGGTACTTTGATGGTGACTATCTGATTGTCGAAGAAGTCCTCCTCGTTTGACAATCACGAAAATTTGAAATCGATTTGTCATTTCACGGATGCCTCGTCTCCAACTCTCATGTCTGGAGTAGGCTGTTGCCGCTGTTGACTAAAGTAGTTGCTTATGACCTATACGAACTTGTGTAACAATGACAACTCTCATATTCTGGGCAAATGTCTCCAAATCCCACTGGTAGGGCTTAGCAAACTTACGTGGAATCAATATCTGACCTTAACCGCCAGTGTGAGATGACCAAGTAAGTAAGTACG